AGCAAAAAATCTCTCTCTCTTTTTTTTTTTGAGAGGTTTTTGCTATAGGGTGCATGCGCTCGCCAGACAGAGAGAGACATAGAGACAGAAAGCAAGAAATCACCCCCCAGGGGGGATGGCAACGCCGCAATCCCTTCTCCTCCATTCTCCTGTTGGGATCTTGGGCACGCACGCACACGCTCCCGGCGTGAGTTTTAAGCCACTGGGTCCAGGATGCGAACTGCGGTCGACTACGTGGGAGTTCAGCGACATAGCCATTACGCTAACTGCTGGTCCCCCTCTTTTTTTCTTCATTTACGAAGGAAGTATTTTATTTTTTAAGAACTATTTTATTTAACTTCATTTATTCACTTATTTATTTTAATTTGAGAGAAACAGAGTTAGAGAGAGAAAGAGAAAGAAAGTGAGAAAGCAAGCCACCAGGTCCAGGACTTGAACTGCAGTTGGCCATATGGGAGTCCAGTGCCCTTAACCACCACACCACTTGCCAACCCCAGAAAAAAAAAACTCTTAAAAAAAAAAAAAAAAAGCCAAAATACGACAGAAAGGAGAATACCATCTAGTGGGAAACAGAATTATAACAGCAATCCATTTGCTAACAAAAAATACTGATACATTTAACAAAGATTCATCCCCCGTTAACATATCCTATTATTAAAAACTTCATATATCTAAGGCAGAAATATTTAAAATTAAGGGCTTAGCATACAGACCTTACTGTTAAATGTAGTTAAAACTTAAACATACCAGAAAACTTTTAGGTGTGAGGATCAGGCTACCACCAGGAAAGGCCTGATACAAACTCAGGAAGAGGGAAGCCAGGGCCAGGATGAAGATATCATAGAGACTCTCACGGGGGCCTGTTTCTAGTCCTCGCAGATGCCACGAGGACTCTCCCAGGTGGGGCTATGGCAGTCACGGGGGTGAGAGGACATCTAGGCTAGCAACTCTGTCTCAACCCTCTGCAATCACCCTTCAGAAAAGCTAAAGTCATCTTACTCTGACAACAGGATTTTGTGTTCTGACTTCTGGGCATTCCCCAACAGAAACAAAAATTGTTTCATGAAAACTTTCCACAATAAGACGTGAAATGCCAGTAACAGAACAAGGCAGAGGAAAGCATTTAGCTGAGAAGCAAGTATAAGCAACAGGTCTTTCCAATCTCAATGTGGAATTAAGAAAAGAGAGGCTGAGGGACCAGCAGTTAGCATAATGGCTATGTCGCTAGACTTCCATGTGGTCAACCATAATTTGAGTCCCAGACCCGGTGGCTTAAACTCATGCAGGGCACATGTACATGCATACCCAAGATCCCAAGAGGAGAATGGAGGAGAAGGGACTGCAGTGTGGCCCTCCCCCCAGCAGGTGATTTCTTGCTTTCTGGTGAGCACATGCACCCTATAGCAAAAACCTCTCTTAAAAAAAAAGGAAAGAAAAGAGAGGCTGAGCACAAAGACACATTTGCAATATTTGCCTTTTGGTTGTTTTGTTTGCTTTTTGTGTTCTTTACTGACTGCCCCCAGACAGAGAGCAATTGTCTTTTGTCTGTCCTGTGGCCATTTGGCATACCACTCCCGAGGACTTACTGCCTCAATCACGGTGCTCTAGAAGGGGTAACAGTTGAGGGCATGCTCCCTGCCTTCCAAACCATCTTCCCAGAAGGCCTGCCTGCCCTCAGTAAAGGTTGCCACTGTACACAGAAAGGCTCAGGCCACAAACCCTCCTCCCCACACAGCCTGCCAGCTCCTCTGGGGTTGTTTTACTCACAGGCTCTAAGGCCTGAAACACCCCCAAATGCTGATACCAAAACACTAACACTTCTGATTGCTTTCTTTCTGCAGGCCCAAGAATTGGGACATCTCCAACCTAGGCCACAGGCCTTCCCAATGTCCTCCTGCCAGTACCTCTAAGATGAGCTCTCGGGTCTGAGTTCTTCACTCAGCACAGAAGAGTTTGTATTTATATTCCAGGGTTCATGTTTCTTTCTCTGCATGCTGGTGCCAAAGCTTGCTTTCTTGATAAAGCATGTCCTTACCTGCATCACCCAGCCTTTCATGGACTTATTTCAAGGGTTGTACACAGTTCCATCTAATCACAAAACCAGTACAAACGCAGAACAGCTCACACTACTCGGTCGTCAGAAAAGTCACGATGTATCTTGTTTTTCTGTGCAAAAATGCATCATGACTTTTCCAACAGCCCAACTATGTCTGGATAGAGTAGTTTTAGATAACTGGGCGTAATTTTCCTAAACTCCACTAGGTCAGCTTAAAGAACTCAGCTGGTTACACAGTAATGTTTAATTATACAACTTGGTCCCTATTCCCCAGGCTTAAGGAACAGAATTAGCCTTTCTTTTTGAAAAAATAAAATAGGGCCAGTAAGTGATGTGAGTTAAGGTGGCTAGATCACACATGGCCAGCTAAGTGGTTCGAGTCCAGTGGCTTGAAAACACACCAGGTGCAGGGCCAGCAAGTGGCATGGTGGTTAAGTCACTGGGCTCCCATGTGGCAGACCCCGATTCAAGTCCTGGACTTGGTGGCTTGGTTTCTCACTTTCTCTCTCTCTCTGTCTATATCTGGTGTACACACTTGACCTATAGCCAATTAGATAATAATAATAATAATAATAAATGAAATAAAATAATTTTTTTAAAAAAGAAAAGAAACCATGCCAGGCACATGTGCATGTGTGCCCAAATTCCCTACAGAAGAAAGGAGAAAAAGAGATTGTATTGTGGCCATCCCGCCTGGGGGGAGGAAGGCTTCCTAGACCCGGGTGGCTTAAAAAGCACACTAGGCACCTGCGACTGTGTGTTCAAAATTCCAATGGAGAGGGACCAGCAGATGGCATAATAGTTACATCTCTGGACTCCCGAGTAGTTGACCACGGTTCAAGATCTGGACCCAGTGGCTTAAAACTCACTGAAGGCAGGGACCAGAGGTTGGTGTAATGACTATGTTGCTGGGCTCCCATGTAGTTGTCCGTGGTTCGAGTCCCGGATCCAGTGGCTTAAACTCACACCGGGCGCATGTGCATGTGTGCCCAAGATCCCGAGAGGAGAATGGAGGAGGAGGGATTGCAGTGTGGCCATCCCCCCGGAAGATGATTTCTCATTTTCTGTATCTCTTTCTGGCGAGCGCACATGCCCTATAGCAAAAACCTCCCTAAAAAAAAAAAGAAAAAAGGAAAAAAAAAGAAAAAGAAAAAGAAAAAAACTTCACACCAAATGTGTGCACGCGTTGGCCACTATGTCCAAGATCTTGAGAGGGGACTAGAGAAGGAACTGCAGTGCGGCAATCCTCTCTGGGGCGTGATTTCTTGCTTTCTGTCACTCTGTATCTCCAGTGAGCGCACATGCACTATAGCAAAAATCTCTTTCTAAAAAAAATTACATAGATAAAAAACCCAAAGAACAGAGGAAACTGTGGTGAAGCCATCCTATTGAATGTGTGGGGGGGCAGTGCTTTTTCTCTCTTTTTCTCTTTCTGGTAAGCACTTGTACTCTCTGGCAAATTAAAAAAAAAAAAAAGTTAAGAGTTTCTTTTGTAAAGAATGATTCCTCAGGGGACCAGCAGTTAGTGTAATGGCTATTTTGCTAGACTCCCATGCAGTCGACCACGGTTCAAGTCCCAGACCCGGTGGCTTAAACTCACGTCTGGGCGCACTTGCGTGCGTACCCAAGATCCTGAGAGGAGAATGGAAGAGAAGGGACTGTGGCGTGGCCATCCCCCCTGGGGGGTGATTTCTCGCTTTCTGTCTCTCTGTATCTTTCTAGTAAGTGTACTCGCCCTATAGCAAAAAGCTCTCAAAATAAATAAATAAATAAGTGATTCCTCAGGCCAGCCCTGAGGCCTAGTGGTTAAGAGTGCCAGATCACACTCCACTGGCTAGTTAGAACACTGACTCTGGTGTCTTGTCAACCACACCAGCTCTTGTGTACAGGTGCCAAATCCCAACAGGATAAAGATACGGAGGGGAAGGGGTTGAGGCATGACCAGGTCCCATGGAGGGCAGTGCCTTCTTCTCACTTGTCTGTCTCTCTTGAGCACTGCACCTTCTACCAATTAAAAAAAGAAAGACTTCACAGGTATGTTTCTTTCTCTTTCTTCTTTTCTCTCTCATTTAAAAAAATATTGCTAGAGGGTGTGTGCACTGGCAGCAGAGAGCTGAGAAAGAGAACGTGAGAAAACACCAGCCTTGGGGTTTTCTTCTCTATCCCTTCTTTTCTGTGTCCTTCCGGGATTCAGGGCATACACAGACACACATGCTCAGCGTGATTTTCAAGCCACTGGTCCTAGACTCAAAAGGTGCACCGGGCCATGTGGGATCCAGCCGCCTTCACTACCATGCCACTACTGGCCCTGCAGGTGTCTCTAACGCTCAGTGCACAGCAGTTTAACCATCATCACAATGGGGACATTAAGGAGGGTGACAGGGATTCTCACAGCTGCTACTAGGATGGACCAATGAGACAAAATGGTTATGTTGTTTCAAAAAAGCCCATTCTGCATGGCTTGCTAAAGAGTGGAAGACATACCACTGGGAAAAAGGGAATTAGGTTCAACATCCCCAAGAGCTGAGACAAAGCCTCAGTTCAGTTTGACCCTTGTATAGCCCTCCTTCACTTTTAGAAGGCTAAAGAGAATTCTGAGTATGCAAGGCAGCTCCTATGCCCTCCTGATTCAGAAATATTCCCACATCTTACCAACCTGTAGGAGTAGTGAGCCCCACCTGGGAGGCAGAGGGGGTTGTTGGACCCAGACAGGCCTCTCGCTTTTCTAGTCTAGGAATATGGCACAATCTAATCTGCCTCGAGACTTATTCATTCCTGGGTGGGCCCCAGGTTCTTTACATACAAACTTGGTTTTATCCCAGATAATGTCCCTATGGCCACACTGTGTTAGTGGGACAGATCTCGACCAGACATGTGAACTGAGCCAATAAGGTGAAACGCCTTGTTAGCATCCAGCCACCCCGCCACAGCGAACACCAAATACCTTTGGGTCATCAGCCTCAGGTTTTTCAGTCTCTGAATCGTCATCTTCCTACAAGACAAAGAATTTAGAGGATTAAGCTTAAAGGAGCAGGCCTGAGGGGTCTCACATGCATAACTAGGGGTTGGAGCAAACAGCCCATCTACCCAGCCGGGGTCATCTCATCAAGAACCCCTCCCCTCCCACAGGATCCAGAACTGGAGAAAGAGAAAGGGAAAGGAGATGTTTTTGGGGAAACCCCCCCATAAAAACCCCAGCAGCTTAAAGTCAATAGTTACTCTAGCAGCACCAGAGTCCACGGCAATGAAGATACCGAGTTGAAAATCACACATATAAAAACGGGGAAAGGTTGCAATATGCTCCAGAAAAGACGAAGACCAGCCACAGAATAAAATAGGCACAGTGTTTCCATTGAAGTATCGATATTAAAACCAAGATTAGAAAAATTTCCCCCTTCTTTGCCTTTCACACACACAAACCTATCAGATTCAGACCTACCAAGACACCGTTTGACATCAAAGTGTCACGACTCACACGCGATTATACCCCAGGGCATCTCGATCTAGGAGCATTTGTACTAACATGCCGAAAGGTCGACACCAAACGGCCAGGGAAAGGCAAGACTAAATGGCAATGCCCAGCCTCAGCTGTCCCTGAGTGGGCTTTGCCCCCTCCTAAGCACTCACCCTGCCCAACACGAAGCACCATGTGGATAAGGCGTTTTCCAAACTAAGCCCACTATTCCACTGAACGCCAGTGTTAATGCTATGACAGTCAAAGATCAGGAGCAGATGCCAGACCAGTTACCTATCAAGAAGCAAATCCCTGTCGTCTCCACTACCCAGGATGCACCCAAAGGCACGGATGCCTTTAACTAAACGCCCAGGAAAAAGTGGTTTCATTTGAAACTGTTATTTTCAACAAAGCTACACTTTAATCTAAACATTACACTGCACTCCAGATGATAATAAAATCAGCATCTAAGGAATGAACACTCTATATTAATAGATTTTAGTCTTAACTGTTCTATTAGGTGCCAGTGAATCAAAGACTTTAAATGTAATCACCATAATCTCCTTAAAATAAAACCAATCATGCCAAATACTCAGAGACAAGAGCTCAGACTAAAATCACATTATGGAATATCTATATTGAGATTTGATGAAGAATTTTAACAGGAAATAAAGCTCAAATATAAAAATTCTATGCAAAAATATGGAACACTTCAAAAATACATTATGCAAATTGCATTATAGGAAAAAGTTATGTATATATTTGAGAAAAGTCAGAAAAAGAAAACTTGCAAATGTTTTCTAAACCAGTCAGTCAACTCTGAATTAAATCAGCATTAATGGGTAGGGCTAAAGGCATGAGAATATCCCCCGAGGGTACATAAAATACAAAATACATTGTTTAATTTAGAGAGTATTTTGATTGTGACATTTTATATATCTATGTATAAAAAATTTTCAAATAAATAATAAAACACACTGTATTCCAATTAAAACAGGATTCAATATCCAGTTTGAACCTCGCATGTCTTTGTGCTAAACACCAGACTAGATTCCCTGTCTTTTCCCTCCAAACTAAATTCAGGCTCGTGATGCTCAGATGATTGCATATTTAGTTTTTCTTATTAACAGAGACAGCAATTCCTTTCTTTGTCAGTCAGCACCTCCTACATTTCAGGTAAGATTTGTGATTAAGAATCATGGTCACCCTAATAAAAAGTGCCAAGTAAAATATCAAGAAAGAAGTTAAAGTAGATAGATACTAAATAATTTTCCTTCTTTACCTTGTTAATAAATAGATCTGAATGAGCCCCAACCAAAACTAAAAATAATACAAAGCTGCTTAGAGATATGTAATAAATGACTCATCAACTAGGACAAATGATTGTTACAAACACAATAAACAATTTAAACAGAAACAGCCAACAAAAAATAACACCCATCAATCTCTGGGTTAAATAAAATACTATACGATATCTTACCCCAAATTTTAATCACAGATTAATACCGAGAAAAACGGGGGGAAGGCAGCTGGTGGTAATGATGGTTAAGCTGAGTAGATCCCATATGGCTGACTATATGGTTCAAGTTCCAATAACTTAGAAAACAAACTGGGTAGTGCACATGTATGCTCAAAATTCCAAAAGGAGAATTGGAGGTGAAGAAATTGTGAGGTACTTTCCATTTTTTTTCTCTCTCTCTCCCCCTCTACCAGCAAGCACATGCACCCTCTAGCAAATTAAAAGCAAACAAACAAAAATTTAAGGGGTAGTATGAAATGTCCTAGGTGAACACAAATTTAGTATTAAAACGGAACTACTGGGGCTGGCAGATGGCACGATGGTTTAGGTGCTAGACTCTCACATGGCCAGACGGTTTAAGTCCCAGACCTGGTGGCTTTCCTTCTCCAAAATCCTCCCAAATCTCCTACCAAAATCCCAGAAGAAGGGATTACAGTGTGATTTCTTACTTTCCCTCACTGTCTCTCTGTCTCTTTCAGGAGAGCACATATTGCCTATGGCAGAAACCTAAAAAAATAATGAATAAATAAATAAAAACCAGAACTACTAATGGGACCAGCAGAAGCTGTGGTGGTTAAGGTGCTAGATCCCACTGACTGAGTTGGTGGTTTAAGTCCTGGACCTGGCAGCCTGAAAAAACATGCTACGCTCTCGTGCATGCCCAAAATCTTGAGGAGAGAATGGAGGAAAAAGGAAATGGTGCGCTCACCCCCTCCAGAGAGGGTGATTTCTCACTTCTCTCTCCATAGATACAAGCCCTATGGCAAAAAATAAAGAACGGAACCACTAATATCCAACACAGTTTTTTTCAACTGATTTCCAACTCTCCAAAAAATGGAGAGGGATAAAAGTTAGCTGTAAAATGAAACATTCTTGGCACGTCCAGAAAGTTCCAGACAAATGAAATAGTGCTTTGAGTTCTGAATCCGGGAGATTTACCTACCGACTGTTTGCTGTTCTCGTCCTCTTCCTCTTCATAACCATCTTCATCACCCCCTAGGCGAGAAAAGTCATCCTCTCCGTAGGCGTCAGATACCAATCCACCTTTCTCCTCTGAAACAAGGGGGAAAAAACCCAATGGGGAAAATATTAGAAAGCTTTCCAGTGGCTTGACTGGCAAAGTCTATCTCTGAAGATCAAAGGAGAAACCAAATCTCCCTTAAGTGACTACAGGCTCTGATTCTGTAAGTGGGAAGGCCACAACTGGATGGAAGAAATCACTCAAAGAACAGGGAAGAAAACCAAGTTCTCAACTTGATTGCTTATGCTTTCAGTTCATCTACTATGTCTACTGAGGCATTTCCTTCTCCAAGCCATTACAGCATATTGTTTGCACACCTCTTCTGACATGCACACCTCTATCCTGTAACACAGACAGCTATGAACTTGTCTTCTCAGACGTTTTCATAGGTTCTCCCCTAAGAATAGGATCTTTAACAGGGGCACGCCAATGAGTTCCAATCACACCTCCTCGAGAAACAAAAACCTTAAAGCAAAACAACACATCATTGGGAAACCACAAGGAAATCTCCCGGTTGGCAAAGACCACACAAAAAACACACTGGAAAAGTAGTTAACTTAGTTCTCACTTTTCAGATTAAAAAAAAAAAAAATCAAGGCTCGGATGTGAGGTAACTTGCTCTCTATTCTCCCAGAGAAATCCGTTCCCATTCTCTAACACGGTGCTACTCAAACGAAAAGCAATAAAATCGCTTACTGGCTTTAAAAACTCACAAAGTCAGAGTCACTCAGAAGCCTTCAATAGCTCACAAATGTCCAGATCCCACCCGAGCTACAAAACGGATTACCTCACTCTAGAGACCAGATAGGTACATGGTCTGATAAGCTCTAAGCTGCGTTTAGGGCACTTTCCTAATTAAAAAGTAAAACTGAACAAGACACAGCCTTTATATTCTGTGTATGTTTCATTCATCGCTCTCCCCATCCAACAACGATCGCAGAGGGAAAGGTACTAGTTCAACAATCTTGGATACCTTTCCCCTTCGCCCATCCCTCTGCCCAGCACGACGCCAGGCACAGAGAAGGCTCTCGGTAACTTGGGAAGAGGAAGAGAAACAACAGAAAGATGCCGGTTGTTTCTCACCGTAATATCTACGGCGCTTTCCTACCTCAGACCCTGACTACAATTCGGGGCCCGATACTTGGAACACAGTGACCATCTCATTTCTTCCCGCCCCACTATGGGAGTAGCGTTCCGGGAAAACACCCGAGTCCCCCTTCCAGCTTCCTCTTTGGGACTCACCAGCTGCACTGCCCACTCCTTCGACTCCAGCCTCGCCATCAGACTCGGGCTCTGAATCTTCTGCGTAAACTGCCAGAGACGATAGGACATTCTTTTTCCCCGCCATCTTATTCCCAGAGCCCCGGCGCGGCTCACTCCTGTGACTCCAAGAAGGCGACTACCGTGCGAAAAGGCAAGCTCTTCCGGATCCGGACGGGAAACCAATCAAAACAGACGTTTCCGCGCTTGGCTCCACCCCTTACGCAAGCGCTTGTGTTACGTCATTACGACGCGACGGATATAAGGTTATGTGGCGCCCAGCTGACACTGATTTGCCAGTGGTCTGGCTTCTCGGAGTTGGGGTTGCTTGGTGGGGTATTGGTGTAGCTCCCGAGCCAAGCGGCCGCAGCCGTTTTACCAGAGCCCTTCGCTCTGGGCGGCCCACTGCCGGCTCTGATATCTGGGGGTGAGGACAGGGAGGGTTCGGCTGGAGAAGGGAAAACATTGCCGATCTGGGGCTCAGGACGGAGAAAGGAGTCTCGGAGTCCAAGGGAGATGGACAGTCGTGATGGCTGCGCTTATGGAAGTAGAAGCAGGAGGTGGATTTTAGAAAAACGATTCCACGTTCTCCAGACTATTCCGAAGACTTTTGTATCTGTTCCCTGATTTGATTTGATTTGTTGCCCTGTGCTATACTGTGGCTCTGGATAGTTGGGTGTGTTTATTGTCACTGAGCATAAGGTTGGAGATGCTATTTACCCAGGGCTGTATTGTTTGAGGCGCTTTACCTGCAGCTTTATTTCTATACTGACGGGAAAATAAGCCATAGTTTTAAAACTGAACGGAGGGTTCCCGTGGCAGCCTTTCACCACGTTTGCTTCAAACTTTGACCACTTTTTCTCACCAAGATGAGTACACGCCGTTCCTCCTTTCCTTTTGACCCTGAGCGCCAAGTCCGGAGCACGTTGAAGAAGGTCTTTGGGTTTGACTCTTTTAAGACGCCTTTACAAGAGCGAGCGACCATGGCTGTAGTGAGAGGTAACATGATCAAACTACCTGCCTTTACGTTTGTCCTGGTTATACTATAGCACTACAGCAGAACACCCTCCTCCTGACCTTCCTTCTTCCCATCCTTGGTCTATAACTGGTTTTGGAAATCTTTTACAGTTGTCACCCAAATGGGGCCAGCAGATGGCGTAATGGTTGCGTCACTGGACAGGTAGTCCACTGCAGTTGGCTTCCAGCACTCCCGCCCAGCCTGTGTGTGGGCCTGTGCTGTCCATTGGTGCCCAAAATCCAAGAGGAGAATGGAGGAGAAGGGATTGCTGCGTGGCCACCCCCCTTGGGGGGGGGATTTCTCTCTATCCCTCTGTTTCTCTGGCAAGTGCATGCAGCCTATAGCAAAAAAATCTCTTCTCTTTTTTTTAAAATTTAACTTTATTCATTCATTTCTATTTGACCAGAGAGAGAGAAAATGAGAAAGCAAGTTATCAGGTCCAGGGCTTGAATTGCAGTCAGCCGTGTGGGAGTCCAGCACCTCTAACCACTATGCCACCTGCTGCCCTGCCAAAATCTGTTTAAAAAAAAAAAAAGAATTGTCACCCAAAGCTTGCAGTTTTAATGACAACCACCCAGCTGTTCTGGTTTTTATATTTCATAGCCAGATCTACAAATAGTCTTTGAAAGCAATTCATAGATTCCTATTCGTGTTCATTTATGTATAAGTGGAAATGAGGGTGGCAGGAATAGCCTAGTTAGTCACTGACCTTCTTGTTAATTCCCTTGTTGAAGATTGAATGGCCTGGATCCTACTTTGGGAAAGAAGGGGTTATGTTCTAAACTTGATATGTCACAAGGGGAGACAGCAATGTATGTTAATGACACATTTATAAACAAAAGACCTCTAAGTGATGGCCTTCCATGTCACAGATGTGCCTACATCTAAGAGTAATCTGCTTTCATGACTGTTTAGCCCCATCATCCAAATCCCAGCAGATTCAGACTTCTTACCTCGTTTTTTATTACCATTACCAGAAAGGGTTTATGTGCATTTCCAAATCTCTTGAGATTCCTGCACTTTTCATAGATAGGATAGAAAGAAAGTGAACATTATATCAAGACTTTCCTAGGTACAAGACATCCTGCTAGGTGTTTTCCTTATATTCTCATTAAATTTCCAACAATCATGATGAAAAGGCAGGAGGCACTGAAATTTTTTCTTGTATTTTTGCAGGTGACAAGGATGTCTTTGTGTGCATGCCCACAGGGGCAGGAAAATCCCTCTGCTATCAGCTTCCTGCCCTGTTGGCCAAGGGCATCACGATTGTAGTTTCTCCTCTCATTGCTTTGATTCAGGTGAGGCAGAGGGGAATGAAGATGGTAGGCCAAAAAGATTAGGGAAAGGTTTCTATTGCTGAGAATTTCACTTCTTTATTTTGGCTTCTGACTCTTTTTATTTTCTGTAATTTGCCTATCTCATTCTCTAAATTGGTTTCCAAATTGCTCAAACGTAGACTTTTCCACTGGTGCGTATCACTGGTGGGTTATGCACAAGTCTATGTTTTGATGACCTGACTTTCCTCCTCCTCTTTTGCATTTTTTTTACCCAGAAGAGTCTAGAACTGTATCAGTACATACATACATGCTCACCATCACATGTCCCTACAC